AAGCATCCTACAAGTATCATCACTATTATTAAAAAACCAAAAATTAGCTTACTTGAAACCTTTAATAATATAGGATCAAAAGTTTAAGGATTTATCAACTAAGTATAACTAATGATTGACCTTCAATCTAAAAGCTATCCAATCCTTAGATTACAAGTTAGGTTTTTGGAACATTACTTTCAAGCTCTACTTTATCATGCCTTTTATCATTCTTTAAACAATATGGTCCAATATTGAATAATTTCAAGGCCATCTTAGTGGTATTATGTTGTAATACAACTATTGAATGAAAAAAAGAAAAAATTATTATGTTGTAGAAGAGCTTATTTTAAAATATAATGAAATATTACTTTATAAATATAAATAATAGTTAAGAAGGTAACAAAATTTAATAAATATTAATGTTTTTTTTTTGTAAAAAAAAAAACTTTTACTTACTTTATAGGACCATAAACAAGGCAAAATAAGATAAATTAGCAAAAAAAATATTATAAGCATCTTAATGTAGAAATAAAGACTAATAATCAACAATAATTACTTAGATTAATCTTAAATTAATACACATGGAAGGGCTATAAAATCTAGGGTTAAAATCACTATTATTAAAGAACAAAAAGACCTTTAATAATTTAATTTATTACAAGTTTAATAAATATTAATATTATAATAAAATAATAATATATTAGTATCAACTATAAATGATGATTTTTTATTTATAAAGATATTTTCAATAATGGTTTTTGATCTTTAGTTTTTTTAATTTGTATCTCCATAACAGATCTAAGGCTTTATTATTTCACTTATTTAATCTATTGCTCCTAGATTCTTGATCTTTACAAAGTAAAAATTATCAACTTATAATGAAAAACCATAATTGCTAAAAATATGATGTTTATTAAATCAAATAATTTTTTGATTGAGTATATAAAAACCTCTCTAATAGTAAGAGAGTTATATAGCTAATTTTGTGATAATTAACAGTAAATTTCAAATATTATATAAAATTTTGATTATAGATTTATTTTTCTCTCAATTTAAAGATTAATAAATAAAGACAACTTGATATCAATCTTTTAGAATATTAAAAATTTTCTTTAAAAACTTGATACAAATTAGGATTATTTATCAAATATAATATTAATTAAAAGTCTATGATATTTATAAATATTATAATTTTTTATCAATAATAATTTTTATATAAGATATCAAATGAGAAATTTTTGATAGAAAATTTACCATTATAATAGTAGAATTATAATATTAGATTATATTTTTTTTAATAAAATCCATTAAAAAATTTGACCACAATTATTTTAAAAGAGATAGAAATATATAAAAGTTTGTAAGATCAAAAATATAAAATCCTAATTTGAAAATAAATTTTATTGGTTCTTAAAAGTATTTTTTTTAATTTCACATATAAAGCTATTGAAAACTTCTTCAAGCAATTTCTACAAACTTGCTGTATTCAAAATATCTTGTGCCAAGAATTTAGATTATGCTTGAAATATATGTAATTGTACTTGACCTTCTTGAATTTATAAAAGAAATTTATTGGAATCATCATAGAGATTACCTTTTAACATTTGATAAAAATAAAGTGTTAATGTATTTGAATAAAATCCAATAAAAAAGTTTATTTTATTTTAATTTCTAAATTTATAACAAAATCATAATTTTTTTTGTTTCAAAAGAATAATTTGTTGTTGATTATAGATCGCATTTCTTTGTTTTGGTGCAAGATTAAAAAATCTCAATATGTCATGTGATAAGTCTCTTTTATTTAATTATTTATTTTTTATGATAATTTATAATATTAAATATGAATTGTAACAATATATTGTTCTAATAGGCTTAACAAAAAATTTAGATATATGGTATCATAAAATGCTGACACATCTATTAATTAATATGAATTGTGATTAAATTAAAAGATCTTTTTAGATTATAATGAAATTTTTTTTAAAGAAAATCTATAATAGCAAGGGATTATTTCATGTAAATTTTATAATTAAACTTGGCTGAAGAATTTTTTTTGAGTAATACACATATCATTTGCATCCATTTTTAATAAAAGTTTACTGAATAAAGTTCTTAATGCAGTCATTTTCATAAAAATAACTTTTAAAATTTTTGATAGTATAAATTAAGAGTCGAAATAATAATTATTTTTAAACTTGAAAATAGAGTTTTAACTTCAGAGGTTAATTGTATGAAATTACTATCAACTTCAATAAAATAATTTGTAAATATTAAATGAAAAGTTTTAAATGTTGAAAAACATTTAACATCACGTGCACTTCTTAAAATAATATAATTTAAGAATCTAAATTAATAAATATATTTTTTTTGTTTCACTATATATATAACTATATGTGTGTGTCTATGTATATATGTTTTGGACATTTGGTGCAATATAATTTTAAAAATTAATGTTGAGGATTTGTTTTGTATTTTTTAAATATTAAAAAGATCAAAGGACATCTCATTTGGAAATAGAGAGAAAACTTATAAATTTTCTTGTTATTTCATTTATTTATTTTTTCAGAATAGAGAAATAAATAAATCACCTTAAAATTTATAAAATATGAAAGTTTAAATTTTTTTAAAACTATTACATGTTCCAAATCAAATAATAACGAGAAAGATGTGACTACAAGAAAAAATCTCAAAAATCAAAGAAATTTTGGATGATGTTTTGAAATTAAATATTTAAAAACAGTTAAGAAAAAAATCACATGCTTTTTTATCAACTGTGAGATAGAAATAACTTCCAATTTATTTTCAAAAAAGACAAGAAAAACGGCTTTTTTATTTTACTTTCATGTAATATAATGGTATTTATATAGAATAGATAAGAATGAAATTTTATTTTTAAACTGAAAGTGGGCATTTTGAATATACGTATGAGTCTTTTGCGCTTATAAATGCTAAAGTTATTTTTTAGTATACAATAAACTGTTTATTATGTGAATTTTTAAAAACAATTACATTTTTTTTATTCAGACAATTTTTTAATTATTTCTACAAGTACAAAAGAACATAAACATCATTATTCTTATACATTATGAAAGTTTAGAGATGAAGGACTATATGTCAAGATGGAAATAAATAAATAAATAAATCTTTGCAATTATATTTTTAATGTTAAAAATTATTTTTAAAATACAAATTATTCTAAAAAGTAACAAAAGTCTAAGAAATATTATTTTTAATTATCAAATTTTATTCGAAATTAGTAATATAATATTTTTTTATAATATTAAGATTAATAAAAAATCAAAAAAAAATTAAACCTCATAGAATAATCAATATGCTAGAAAATAAAATAAAAACGTTTTTTCTTTTTAAAAATAGATAAAAATTTAGAATATAAAAAGCAAAAGACTTAGATTCAAAACAACATTAAAATTTGGATATCTTGTACATTGGTGCACATATTATATTAGTCCATAAACAAGGGAAATTTTTGAGAACCTTATGCATACAATAGAGATGATTTGTACTTCTCATTAACAACATCTATTTATATAAATAATCAAAAAAATATTAATTATATTAAGATAATATAAAATAGAAAAAAAAAACTCAATTCATATTTTTAAGAGTATCTATTAAAATAGTTTGTAACATTTATTTTGACAATAATTGAACTTCATAAAAATAAGATAAAATTAAAATCTTTTAATGATATTGAGAAAAAATCTAATATTTAAAACATAGTAATATTACTAAAATTGGATAATACTCTTAATAGCATCTTGAATATTTTATTTTAAACTAATTACAGAGAATATAACAAAAATTGTATAATTAAGTTGTTTTTTTTTGGCAAGAAATAAGTCATTAATAATAACTTTAAAAAACCTTTCTACTATTATTGAACAAAGCAAAAAACATGGTTTTTAACAAACACCACTTATCATATTTTGAATTTAATTAATCCTTTAAAAAAACATAGAATGTCTTTATTTCTAATGAGACTTATTTTCAGATAGAAAAATAATGTCACAAATATCATTAGTAATTAAATAAGTAAAAATAAAAAGCATTAGAAATAAAAATGTGTTAGAAAATACATCATCATAAAATATTGTAGAAATTTCTTAAATGTGGTTTTGATCTACAAATTTTCTTAGATTTTCCATGTAATCAATGAAACTTGTTCTAAGAGTTTGTGGAATCTGAACTTGATAGTATGAATTCTAAAACAAAAGTCATTCTAAAGCAATTGAAATGTATTACCAAATTAAAACAATTTATTTACAGCTTTAATTCACTAAATATATATATATATATATATATATATATATATATATAAACTAACCAGGTTATAAATAATAACTAACTATTAATGTATTAATGATAATTTTATGAAAATTGAATATCCAATTTATCTTTTTGAAGATTAAAATTGTTATTTTTAAAATCACCTCTACAATTTATACATAATAGTGAAAAAACATAACTATTTTAGATTTATAACAAATATTTTCATGTCAAGCAATCTTACTTATTTAGTAAATATGTAAATGGTTGATTAAAAGACTATCAAAATTGTAGAAGCAATTTACATGACCAGTCACCATTTCAATCTTGTGAACAAAGATTGAAATTTCAGCTTGAAAGAATCAAGCTGAAATTATGTTGATTTTACCAACAATAAACACAGAACTTTTTCTTGAAGTTCCATACTGTAAAGAGCTTCAAAAATTGATCAAGCAAATATTTTCTTTCAAATCAAATTACAAGAAATCAATCGTATGAACAGCGCTACTTACAAAGCATCCTTTTTAGGATTCATGATTCAATATAAACCAACTTATGCAGTCAACAAAATCCTTAAAAATGATACGAAGTAATTCAGCCCAAACTATATGTCCACCTCATCGTGAGATATCATTTGTCACAAGTACGCAATTTGAACAACTGCACAACACCTCTCCTTAAAAAAGACAGTATTTATTAGACAAAAACTTCAAAATCATAAAGGCCTTCACTTAGGTTTAAAAAAGATACATTTGTTTGGGCTTTTAGGTAGACAAATCCCTGGACAATGTTCAGGAGTCTTATACCAATCACAAGATCATATGATCCACGGCAAGTAAACCATTGTGCTTACCTCTGAAAAGCTGCAAGGCGTGCAGAAGATGATCTAGTGAAGAGATGCGATCAAAAGCGATCTGTACAGATCTGAGCACCTCCAACTTTCATGCTCAGTTCAATCACCTATGTAAGAAACTGTTCACAAGTCTAATGCCAATCACTTGAGCCGGCTCTGCCATTCTCCTCTCAAGACTCGATTTTAGAAGAGAAACCAAAATTTGTATCCCCCTTAAGATGTGTATCAGATGTACTACACAGAAAGGAAGGCTCTGCAAACCTTCACTACACTAAACAGTTGGAGGATTTAAGGCCTACATAATAAATGTTCTCCCAAACGTATACTACTATGAGCACAACCTGCCGTATTGTAAAAGGGGGCTTGAAACCCGCTGCATGGTAGAGTATCTTCCACTAACAAGATAATGACAATAACCTGCGAAAACTAGTGTTCATCTACTAAAAAATATACAATTGCCAACTCACAACTTGGAAAACAAAAAAAACTTTGAAGGGGCAGGCTGAGAAGGCTAACCACCTCCCCATTTGTATATTAAAGAACACATCTGCAGGAATCACCTAGAACGAGGACGTTGTAAACTGGATTGATCACTCCGCGCCTCGTAATTTTTTATATAGTAGAGAACCCTCGTTCAACATGTCCTTGGCATCAGTAAGCATACCTAGCTTAGTAAGAGCAATGGATTGCATGAAATATGCAGTAGGCAAATCTGGGAGAACATACTGAGCTTGCATCGCATCACGAAGTGCAGGCTCTGCCTGATCGATCATCAAGTTAGCCAGACTTCGGCGAGCGAAGACCGTGGGAGATATCATCGTTCCTACATCAACAAACTAAAGAGAAGCCGACTGTAAGTCGTTGGAATAATAAGTTAATAGTTACAAGTGACTCAGTCCTAAAACAGTTGATTGCATTCTCAAATAAGACCACTGCTTGAAGGACTTACAGATCATAGATCTAAACCAAACTTCCCATGGTGTGACATCGTAATGTACACCTAAAAGTCCAAGTAGAATGGGAGTAACACAATCCTGGAGTACAAAATAACCTCAAGGACGTACTTCCTCGATCCAAAAAATAAACTTCTCACAAAATGGGTGAAATGGGAAAGTTTCGCTAGAAGACAAATATACAACCGTGCCACAAATGCATGCCAAATCAGCTGGTAATGTACCTGTGTATAGCAGTCAATTGCAGTCTTAAAATCCTTCTCCCCGAATGCCAAGTCCCCACGCTTTCTTGCATTGAGCATATCTTGTACTTGCTTTGTCCAGACCTGGAAAGATAACTGCACGTGTGCCAGTCCATTGGTTGTATTCCAAGCATGCAACAGAGAACAACATAGTCCCTACAGGTAACACGTTCTAGAATCCTTATCCTTTCTGAACAAATAAAAAATCAGGATAATGTGCTAGCAACCTACATTCATATGTTGTAACTAGACAAGGTGACATTATCAACAAACAATTTCTTGAAACTACTTGAAATAAGCAGTTTTACCGTGAGCAAAGTTGTTCAGTGAGAAATTACTGGGTATCATGCACCGAAATAACAAGGGAACATAACTCTGAAGCCTTAAAACAATAGAGCTAAAACCACACCAACAGATTCATCGTGTGCAGCTCTAGTAATACTGCGGCACTGCCATTTCAAGAGAGCTTGGGAGAGAACATGACATTCTTCCTATGCTTCGCCTAAGAACAGACCAAAACATCAACTCAAAATAATAAAAAAGAAAGGGCCGAGATCTACCTCATTCTCAGTGCCTTCATCGTCCTTGTAACCTACTTTGACGAGAATCTTGTGCACTGCTGCAAGGTCATTGCGAGAGCAGGCTTCCTCCAGCAGTGACACTTCTTGTGATAATGGCTGCATAGACGATTGAAGACATACTCTTAAACTCACAAGATCGCACTACAGTGTTGCGAAAATACACTACATTCAGCTCACTGAAACCACACTTCGTTAAACTCACGAAATCCAAACACGTTAGGCTGACGGAATTACACTACATTACGATATCGAAATCAATCTATATTTAGTAATGCAAATTGCCCCTCGTCGTGACAACGTTTCTAATCCGTAACTTGAGTATGCCCACCTGCTCAATGACCTCAATTAAGAGAATCCAAAGGACTGTATATCCAATATGACAAAAGATAGAAAAATAATCATGCAAGTAGTAAATGATGTACATGGACGTCAAAAGAAACATTGATCAAGAAATATTGCAGATTGTTATTTGTATCGCAGGTAAACTACCCAACTGACAAATAACAACCAAAATCAAGCGGACTGAAATCATCGTCACTCTAAAGGTACGATGAGCAATCAAAATGACCTTTCAAAAATCCTTGCGAATTGTGTCGATCACAGGTAAGCTTGAAGCTTGAATGAAACCATGCAGGAGTCCATTAAAGCTTGAATGAAACCATTGAAATAAGATCATCACTATTAACCCCAGGGAAGCTTGAATGAAAGCTTTGACCTGATGCAGTAATAGCTCCAAAAGTTCACCATTACTCAAAAAATGTCAAAATTAAGGGACTGGTACTTCTCAAAGCAGCAAATGTGCACACCATTGCCAAAGATTTGGCCCACTTGTGGCAACATTTGGCTTTTTCAAGAGCACGTCCCAATTTATAAATGAGACCCCATACCGCAAGCCTGATTTAAAAAATGTTCCTATTCTTCTCATCTAGTACAGAGTCCTCCCTGCCTGTCTGCTATTGATTTAGAGATACTAACCGACCAGCTACCTCAGTAATCCGCTGAAGAGGTAAAAGTGCAGTCACAAGCATCTTCAGATGGGGTCGTTCACGTGGTTCAAACTGCAAACATCGTGATGCCAGACGAATAAACTCTGCGCCATCATCATTCGAGAATTGTCCTTCCAAGTGGGAGTCCATTAGCGTGAGTAAATTTTTCCCGTGTATTAAATCCAGGGCCTGCAGTAGGTTAATGATGTCAGCCAATACCTTGCAACTCCATAAATCGCTAGTTTAAGTTAGACTTTATTACCAATAGTTCCGTATGCGTCACATGCTTTATGTCAAGTATTAATTTCAAAATCAGGGTGAATAAGCCGAACTCACATGGCTCGGAGGAATGTGCTTTCCACTCAACAAATCTAGTAGCATAGTTCCAAAGCTGTAAATTACACTTTCTGGTGTCACCCTTCCTAAATTCACAAAAATATCATAAAACAGTGGGTTATGAAATGCAACCAAAAATGAGGAGAAGGGCTTTCTAGACCAATTTCCATATGCATAACTTGACCATAACTGAGCTGCAGTGATCTTCATGATACCTTCAAGCTAGCAGACGCCTAAATTTGTAATAAGGATGCAACTACAATCTATCCAGCTAATCTTCCGTTGTTCGAAATCAGACACAGAACCGGAATCCCGAGGACTTGTCAAGTGCCACAATCAATAACTGACCTGTGCGTAAATACTCAGGAGGTGTATATGCCAGGTTTGTGCTATAGCTCTTGCCATCTCTGCTGTTTTTCATCAAACCAAAACAAGATAATCGAGGATCCCCATCCTGGAAATAAAGACTTGAACAAATTAAGAACTCTTTAAGAATCCTGCGAATTATGAGGAGTTGCGAAAGGTGACCGGAACAACATACTGCCGCTAAACAAAAGTTGTCCTTAAGGCAAAAAGGTGGTATCCCATTTCACAAATGAGTCCAGAATCTATGGCGAAGATTTGAGAGGACTTTCCAGTTCAGTAGGGATTAATCCATTAAAGAAATATCACTGAAAAGATGATAAGCTCAGGATCACTTTCAACGTAAGTTTATGATTTAAGCAAAATTGCAGCACTCAATAATCTCAAACTACCAGATTAGACAATTCAATAATTCAACAGGAAGTAGATAATACCTGGTCAAACATCACACGATAAGCATTCAGATCATGGTAAAGGCGAAGATTATTGTTTGAACAATGATCAAGCGCCTGCACGACATGAAGGGCAACACGCACCCGCATGCCCCACAGCATTGGTTGCTTCTCCCCTGCAGTATATGTCATTTCACCGCTCAGAAAAACGGATTCAATCACAAGAGATGTGCACTGAAATGAAGAACCAAATATTGAGAAATTTTTCCTAACTTTGACCAGAGTAACCTCAAACTGATCTCTAGCGTGCATAAAGAACATACAATTACTGGTTTTAAACCAACCTTTTACTTAAGCTTATCACTATTCATAAATATCCATGAGGCAGCATATACTAAATCACTAAATAATTCAACAATAACGTTACCTAATTCCAAAAACTATTTTCTGAGAAGAAGGCTTCTTCGACAGGAATGCACAAATACATTTTTTCATTCATGTTACATATGCTGGCGTCAAGTCCAACTCATGGTAAAGCCAGCTTACAATGAAAGAGATGTTTCGCTAGAGTGTCATGGGGCATGAATTCAGCAACAAGTAGTCTTTCATCATCCTCAACGCAGTAGCCAATCAGGTTCACGAGTCTCTCATGCCTTACTCGACCCACATTCCAAGCCTCATCCTGTAACAAAAATTACAACTATCGTATAAATGTTTAATGCCCAGAGAATTGAACACCACTACCCAGAGATACACATAAGAACCAGTATTCATCTTCACAAAAGGCATCAGCATTTCAATACATGCTAACGCAATAACCCCACGATGAGTGCAAAATCAAATTACAAATATAAGAAATAAGAAATAAATCAGATTCCTGATACAACCATGTAGGCCATGAGGTTTATACAAATCCTTCAATACACCAAATAGTACATCAAAAAAATAAAAAAAATAAAAAATGAACATCCCAAAACCATCTACATTAGAACTTTAAAAGAAGGTGCAATAAACCAAATAATGTCAAGCTCGATGATGAAAGCTCAGCAATGCAGACAGCTACGGAACATAAAGAATGAGGATATTACCGCAAAGCCCTTTGCATCAGGCCATGCCGATTTAGGAAAGCGCTTAATAGCAATAAATCGATTTTCATCGAACTTGCCTTTATACACAAAGTTGGGTGCTTTCTCCCCACTTTCTGAGACAATAAGCTCTGCACTAAACCCCCTAGTAGCTGCTTTCAGCGTTTCCAGTGAATACTCCTTAAAATCTGGCACAGCTTCGAGTTCAGCCAATCTTCCATTTTCTGCAAGTCATCACATTTCAAACTGATTGTCGACCCAGTAGACCAGAAGGGAAGAAAAAACAATGGTAAACATTGAAGGATTGAAGTCCAATTATATCAAAAAAAGCACAAGACATATCAAGGAGGGCTACAACGCAGCGTAAGGAATTGCTTTGAATTAGCCCATACAAAGGAGAAGGCATGCAAAATCAAAAAGAGGACCGACTCACAAAAAGCGGGTGGTGATGAGAAAAACAGATTCACGTGAGTATGTTCTCACTATGAAGTAATTGAAGTGGCCCACAAATAAAAACCTAAAACCCTGCAGATCACCTACCACACTGAAACTGGAAGTTTGGATTATCACTCCCACATGCGACGAGAAAATGCTTGATTCGACAACAACGGTTGCTCTTCTAGAAGTTTGTCAGAAATCCTCTTTATTTTAATTTTTTTTCACAAAAGCTCATAAACTTGTATCATTGAAGACGACCTTCATGCCACAGCAATCCAACGACTTTCAAGCAGCTCAGAGTCAATACGTTACACCAAGACTGAACTAATACCTAAACAATGGTTAATTTCTCTCCAGCTTAGGTCCAACTAACACAGAGGAGAAAATGTCGGGAGATGATGTTGCTGAGTCATTCCAGCATTCAGAGACCAATGACTATCACGAACTCCACAATGAAGTGTCGTCCCAGACGTACTATCAAGTAAACGATTGGCATTCCTTTGATTCATTGTCGAATGATGAGCATTTAAAAGACCAGTAAAAAGGCAAACAGACAGCCCAAAACTGAAAGAGCCACTAGACACTAACAAATGCAAAATTAAATTATCAAAGCACATATCCAGAGAATCAACAACAGGAGAATCCAAGTTTACGGCTGAGCCAAAGGATCAAACAAACCTAAGTCAATTTTCTCAGGGTGACTATCTTCGAGACTGGCTCGCTGCGAGTCCTTGGGCTTCGAACTGAAGCATCCCATCCCTGTAACCCTCTACGTCCCAACCCGCACCAGCCCGTCTTGCGCCGTCCTCAGTTCGCCATTGCCAGCATCACTCCAGCTCCGCCCCAACCCCCGCCTCTTCTTTCCTTCCCTCCCTCCCTCCCTCCGAGGACTACATCAACAAAAATCCTTCTGAAACCCACCCCAACGATTCACCCACCCATTGACAACACTACTTTCTCCACACTCTCGCGATACTTTAACTCCCAAGCTTCTCACCTCACAAGCTCGAATCCTCTTCAAATCTCACCGAGATTGTCATAACCATCGCCGATCTCACAAACAACCAAACACACAACCAACAACAACAGCAATAAAGCACCTCGCCACCTTCACTCCACAACCACGATGCGATCCTGGACTCGACAACCACAAAGTGGCCAAAGATTGCCCAAGAAGACACTCTCCTCTCCGCTCGTGCACATCAATCAATCACGAAACAAGCAAAGTAAACAAACCCATTAACGGTCTTCTTCCCCCTTGCCCCTCTCGTCTGGCTGCCTCACGGAAAGGCTCTACCCAGGGCCCAAGCCCATGCTGCGAAATAGAGGAGGCTAAGTTAGGGGTATGAAAAAAAACACTATCTCACACTCACACTCTCTCACACACACACACACAAGCACAAAGCACAACACCCTAGAGGTGTATTTTCTTCGCCAGTTATTGCAATTCCTTTGGTTTGGAGATTTTTTTTCCCCCTTTTTGTGTTCTTCCTCTGTCTGTGTGTGTGTGTGTGTGTGTGTGTGAGTCTTTTTTTTTTTTTTTTTTTTTTTTTTTTTTGTTGATGTTGTTGTTGGTTTGATTTTCTGCTCTCTGGGCAAGGAGGGCCATGAATGACCCACAACCAATAACAAGCCAAAAGGGGGCTTCAGACACAATGGCCTAATCATGGGTTAAGTAAGAGTCTTTCCAGACTGGAGGCATGGACTCCACTGCAGCGCAACCCCCCCCACTGTGAGCTTTTCCTTGCACTCTTGGACTATCCCTTTCTTTACCTATCTCTCTATTTCTCATCTTCTTCATTGTGTTTTGTGTACTTGGGCTATTTTTCTTCCACCATTCTGAATGTCTGTGTCACATATGATTCATCAAAAGTTGATTTATTGTTCATTGTTTTACAATAGTTTTTTAGAAATATAAATCAAAGTATACATTTTTTCCATTAATGTCATTTCAATCAAATTATTAAATAATGAAGTATAATTGAATTATATAAATTGCCACTATGATAAGTTGAGAAGTGCATCTAAAGTTAGAAATGTGTTTCTACTGTTACGTTTGAAAACCATGGTAGATGTATTGTGACTTCTTGATTGTCAAAATAAATCTTTAATTAATAAGAGTGTGCACTTATTATTTTTGAATCCATTTATACAGCTTTTAAATGAATATTAAATATGCTAGATATGAAGGTTTTAAAAGAGTTTCTTTCTAATTAATAAAAATTAAGGAATATAGTGCCTAAGTTTAGAAATGTCCATTG